AGGGGGGGAAAAAAACTATAAATTCTCACAATTTTTTCCTAAAAAATCACTCAATTTCTCAATCCATCTCTCATTCTCTTATTCTCTCATTCTCTCAATTTATCAATCTCTCAATCTTATTATCTCTTTTTAATCTTTATACATTTAATATTCATATAATAATATAAAATTTTTATACATTAAAATTTTGAAATTTTAGAAATTTTAATATATAAAATTTCGAAATTTTTTCAAAATTTTCGAAATTTAAAATATTATTAATTTTTAAATATATTCTTTAATCTTTAAATAATTTAAATATATTTTCTATTTTTTAAAAAATTTCGAAATTTTAATATATAAAATTTCGAATTTTTTTTAAAGTTTTGAAATTTAATATATTATTTTTTTTATATCAAAAAATATATATATTAAAATGTCGAGAGAGTCCGGTAAAAGGTCCGTGGATATGGGCGCCGTGAACCGAAGTTCGAGGAGAGGCAAAGCTAAATCCACCTCTGACGGTTCGACCTCACGCGTTTCTCGAGGAAGACACTCCGTCTCTTCCTTTCCTACTATCCCCGATCACTTAATCGGGGACGCTATGACGGATGAAGAATTCGACCAGATTTATTCTGGTAGAGGGGACGCAAATCTCCCCACTCTTGATAGTGTATTTGAAGATCTTGATGAAGCAAATCTGGATAATCTGGACGGGGACGAGGAGCCTACACCGCAGAGCAACGACGTCAACGTGGAGGCAGGTGAGCCCGCGACCTCTCGAGGTCCGGATAAAGGTAAAAAAAATATAAATCAGAGTTATTTGTTTATCATTTTGACAAAGAAACAAAAGATGGCGTAGTTTATGGAACTTGTAAACATTGTGGGACCGTCATAAAAATGGGTGTCTCCGGCGGTTATGGCGGTCCAGAAAAACACCTAAGGTCGAGGCATCCCGTGGAGTTTGCCAAATACGAGGCAAAAAAGAAGGGACGACAAGAAGTGCAAACCCAAATTTCTCGGTTTGCTAACAGAGGTAAGGGCAGCCTTTTTGCTTATAGCGACGAACAAAATAAGCAAAAAATGGCCGAAATGATTTGTGAAGAAAATTTGCCATACATGTTTTCTGAAAAACTTGGATTTATTGATTATTGTCAACATGCATTAAACCCTCAAGCACGAGGTTTTTCAAGAAAAACAATTAAACGAGAAATTATTCGTCAGTATAAAACTGGAAAAATAAATTTGGCAAATTTTTTTCTCAATT